AGAATAGAGAATGTAGATAAGTTATCTACGTTCGCTCCAAAAATGACGTCGTTTTGCGTTGAAAAATTAAAAAATTATAATAAAAAAGACTATTATAACACTACAAGAAAAAATCTTATTAGTGTCACAAATTTCGTCACTACATATGAAATTTCGTCACAAATTCCTGAGTCGCAAATTTATTTGTGACGAATTTTGATTATTTGTGACGAAAATTGTCATTTGTGACGAAATTTGTGACAAAATTTTTTGTCACAAATAAACTTTTTTCTTGTAGTGTAACCCTGAAATAAATTATAATTACAAAAATACCTTGAATTCTGCCTCAAAACGATGTCGTTTTGAGCTCAATGTAGATAAGTTATCTACATTGACGGTAGAAAAAGTGAACCCTAATTTAAAATAGGTGTATAAAAGGAGTACAGGCCACTTGAGAAGGCGTTGAATGATCACGTATAGGATCCACCGTTATATGCTTAAGAATAACGGGTAGGTTATCATATTTATGAAAATGTATGATTTCTGTCAAAACCAAAATGAGCTCATGCACGAGATTAATAGTTTTATTTTTTTGGAAAAACTAGAGAAGATAAAAGTACAAGCTACGACTAATAAAGTCGAGGCAGAGCAACTCCCACGCAGTCCTGATATAACTCCTCACAGCCAGTAGGTGGCTCGTCAAATTCTCTCATTTCCCAACCAACGTGTTGCAGCTACGATGCCAACCAATCTGCTATTGTATTCCCTTCTCCGAATGTGTGGGAAAAGGAAATCTCCCAGTTTGCTTCCTTATGCTTTCTGATCCTATCAACAAAAACCAACAGGGTGAGAAGAGTTGCATCCTCGCTCCACCAGCTGCAAGGATATACTAAAGAATCTGTCTCCAGACACACCCTGTGGTGGCCTCTTTGCCATGCTAATTTCAGTCCCAGGTAGATAAATATTACTTTCACATAATAGTAAATCAAACCAAATTATTACACATTATAAAACAAAAACAATATATATATGGGATTTACATCTATCATGTCACATGACACCAACAACTTTCCTACACACACAACATTTTGTGGGGCCCATATTTTCTAAAGCAAAAAAAAAAAAAAAAAACTAAGCACGCAAAACGAATCTCTATAACATTACACAATCACTTTTCCTACAACATAACTCTTATAAAACCCTATATATGTATATATATAATTTAAAATAGGTGTATAAAGGGAGTACATGCTACTTGATAACCTTGAAAAGATCAGGTATAGGATCCACCATTACATGCTGAAGAATAACGAGTGGGTTACCATCTCTATCCATTGCATAAGTGTAACAACACCCGAATTGATGAGTTTGACATCCCTTGTCTCTCATCCACTTTTGTGGAGCTGTGTATGTCCGATCTTTCAATTCTTCATTTCTCCCTATTTTCTGCAGGGAAGCAACATCATTGACAATCCTTTTCTGTTCAACAGCACTAAAAATACCAATGTGGAGTTCATGTCCTTTACTGTGTATTTGGGAGTCAATATTAAGAGGGAAAGAAAAGTAAAGGGTAAGTTTTTTCTTATGCCTTCCACTTGTATGTGAGTTTTTAAAAATGGGGCATAAATGAATAAAAAATATAGTAAATTACTTATGTGCTCTTACTCTCTTTTTCTATTTTCCCTCACTCAATTCAGAAACAATCACTATTTTTTCTCTTTCTCTATCTTCATTTAACGCAAAAATGAAACCCTAACATTGACCCCTTATTCATTTCCCCTTCCTTTCATGACTTGATCTCTTCTCTCTTCTCCCAAGCATTTTTAGAGAGAATTTTTTAGACAAAAAATTAATTTTTGGAGAGAGAAAATAATTTTTTAGAGGGAGAGTCATTTTTTATATGTGAAACTCACATAAATAATAATTTTAGAAATTTTAAATTTAATTTCATTTATAAAATATCATAATTATATTAGTTTTTTATGAATGGGTAGAATTATAATAACATACCATTAACTTTCCATTGAAGTTATCAGGTTAGCTACTATTATCCAATCAAGAATATGATAATTTATCCCAATAAGGGGGTTTGAGTTAGAATCTGGTATTGAAAGATGGTGACTTGGAATCTTATTATTTTGTAGACTTGAAATCTTGGATGTTATTGATAGCAAACTATCTTATTTTAGTTTTTTATTGTCTATTAATCTATTTTAACTCTTCATGGGTTTTAAGACTTGTTTTAGTTTGAAGACTTGAATTTTCTAGAGGTTTGTAACTTTGAATGTCTTTATTTTGATATAGCTAGTAATTTGTATGACTGAAATTTTAGCGTTTTCGAAAAATCGAAAATCGGTCCAATCCAAACCGAATAAAATTGGATTGGATTGGATCGAATTTAAAAATAAATCAAACTGAATGGATGATTAATTGATCAAACCGAAAGAATTGAATCAGATGATATTTGCTACAAAACCGATCCAATCCAAATTGCGAACAACCTTAATCATGACGTTATCTGGTTTATCCTAAACACAAGATAAAATAACATAATTCTATCATATTTCTTATCTAGTGCACATCAAACATAAGATATGATATAAGCTTATCAGGCTCATACAATTTCCTACTATTATCCAACCCTCTTATCTTATCCATCCTTATCATATATTGTCCACCAAACGAGCCCTTAGCAGAAAGGTATATATAGGCATAGCTTGGTCTTGCATACATGTAAATAAAATTTAGAAACATAATTAGATTTTTATTTCAAAATTAATTTATATCCTGAATTTCAATTATGTCCCTACTAATTGTGAGAATTGATTACTCTGCCCTTACTTGATAGATTTATGAAAATATCCTCAGCCCAAAAAATTAAATATTATTTTTAATATGAAATGCATGTAACGCAATGAAGCTTAAGCTTAGGATGACGTTTTTTTTTTTTTTTTTGGTAAATTGCCAGGAGGTATCCCCATTCAACCTTCTCCGGGCACCATGCCCTCGGGGTACGGCCCGTTTGGGCTAGCCCCTCATTGTAACCGTGGGTGCACTAAGCTTCGCAACCGGAGAAAGGACTGGCCTCCAAAGATTTTCCAAGAAACTGCTTGAGGCAGGGTTTGATCCCTGCACCAAACAATCCCTTGGGAGCTCAGCTGCCTATGACGTTTTTATGATATAAAGAATGTGTTACAAAAATCTAACCTATCTTTAGCTATGCTTTTAATTTGCTCGGTTGTCTCTTCCTAAATTTTGATTTTTTATTTTGTTTTCGCTCCCAGCATAAAAAATACTGAGTCGGTTGTTACTTTGACAGCATCAAAATATTTCTTTCATAAAAAATACTGAGTCGGTTATGATTCCTCGTAATATATATATATATATATATATATATAGAGGTAGGATCTTTTGACACCGATGTCCAATTTCAATTTTGACACCTCATCTGAGAGTCGTTAGATTAAAAAAGATCAACGACTCTGATTTGCAAGCATGTGACACCATTGATCTTTTTTGATCTAACGGCTTTCAGATGAGGTGTCAAAATTAAAATTTGACACCGGTGTCAAAGGATCCTACCTCATATATATATATATATGTGTGTGTGAAGTTTACATTTTTGCAGCTATTGTGCTTGCAGCAATCAAATGCTTGCCATATATATACACGTGAAAACATTAAATGCGAAAAATTATAATTCATAACCATACAAAGGATGAAAGTATTAAATGTGGGGAATCATAACCATACACATGTCGTTGCTGTACCTAAAACGACTGCAGAAATGATTTTACGATATATATATATATATATATATATATATATATATATATATATATATATATATATATATATATATATATATATAACACTCCAAATTCATGTTGTTAAGAAGAAGAGAGTGTACACCAACTTACAATTACAATCATATATGACACGAGTTATTTCTTTCTTTCTTTATATAGATTTTGCCTTTAAAAATAAAGGAGGATTTTTATTATAAGGGAGAGATGAGTAGATGTAAGAAACAGAATATACAGCGAGTAGCGCACTACACTGAGCAATAATTAACAACGGGGCCATCTGAGGATACAATGTCGACATACTAGACTCATAAAATCAGCAATATAGAACCTTTCAGGTATTTCTCTTGTTAGATCTTAATTATAGGATGTTTATAAAATTTGATGTTTTTTGCCTGCCATATATTTAAAGGTGTTCTCTTTAATGAGATGATTGTTTTGTTGGTCTTATGTAAATAGTTTTTTTTTCTCGGGTTTAACAGGAGACCCACTACAGGCAAATGAAAATAAAGTGAGATAAATTATGCGCATGTTTTGAGTAGTCTGTTTTAGTTCTTCCTGCTTACATATTCAGATGTTATTCAGAATAAACGTTGACGTTAACATTAATTCTATCCCATGAGCTCAAAAAATGTTATTCAGAATATCAGTGAAAAATCTTACAGAATGTTGCCATATCTCCCACCTCTGAGCTCTATTATTATTTACACTAGTATTAGTGATGGACCTGATATAATAATGCATGTCAGGATCATAATGGACAAGATAGAATCACATGTTTATGAGCAGTGTTTCCATGTCAGCAATGTTCTTGACCCTAACCTGAATCCTAGACAACTAGTCCATTGTCAATTACTTATTTCTTTATTGTAAACGATTTTTGTCGCAGAACAGTTATTATATCCTGTCCTATTCGGGTCTTCAGTTAGAAAGAATAGCTTTATGCGGTGAACTTGTCCTGTAGTGCCGCACTGCCGCATGCACCTGATCATTATTTTAAGAGATAAGCTGCAAATGGGGCTTTTACATCAAGTTGCACCAACTTGAAAAGTGGCCATCACGCAAAGTTGCAACCTCTAATTAAAGCCTATAAGAATAGAAGTCGTGCAGTGTACTTATAAGTTAACATTGGAGGGTATTGTGAAACTTGAATTCAGGGGTGAGGAGCAAGTCCTTGTGATTGACCCTTCATTTGTGCAAGTTAATAACACAAGAATGGACAACCAGAAGGAGCTGATAGTAGGAAAGGTATGTAAAATCTATGACAAAATCTCTACATTAGAAAGCCTCAATCCCTCCAACCATGTAAATAACCTCTTTACCCAACTTGTAACAACTTGCACTTCCCCATGTCAATTAGATGTTACACAGCTGAGCCAAGAAGTTAAAGAAACTATAGCAAAGTTAATTAGGCTTTGTGGGAAAGCTGAGGGACTTCTTGAAACCCATTACTCTGCTCTCATAGGATCTCATGAGAAACCATTGAACCACATCAAACTCTTCCCTTACTACTCAAATTACCTCAAACTTAGCCATTTGGAATTCACTATGCTCACCAGACACTGCTCTCAAGTTCCCTCCCAACTTGCCTTTGTTGGCTCTGGTCCCCTACCTCTTACCTCAATCATGTTGGCCACCTATTACTTTAGGCACACATGCTTTCACAACTACGATATTGATGCATTAGCAAATGCTAAAGCTTATGACTTGATCTCATCAGACCCTGACTTATCAAAACGAATGTTCTTCCACACAAGTGATATTGCAAATGTCTCAAATGGCCTTAAGGAGTATAACGTGGTCTTCTTGGCAGCACTGGTAGGCATGGACCAGAATGAGAAAACACAAGTCATTAATCACTTAGCTAAACACATGGCTCCTGGAGCTATTTTGTTGCTAAGGAGTGCACATGGAGCTCGAGCATTCCTCTATCCAGTTGTTGATGCTTCTGATCTCAAAGGTTTTGAAGTTCTATCAGTTTTTCACCCAACTGATGATGTTATCAATTCAGTTATTGTTGCACGAAAGCATTCAGTGAATCAAGGGCTATACTCACCAGTATTGTCTAGCAAATGCTCTGAAGTTGAAGGTTTTAATCCCTTAAACCATGGAAACGTTATTGATGAGTTGACCATTGATGACCAGGCTTGATTTCATGCTTGCTATGATGTATAGCACAATGCGATTATAATAAGATCGCAAGGATAATTTAAAGACGCATGTTATATTTACAAAAATTTTGTTTATAAACTCTTACAAATTACACTATATTCTCGCGGGAGAATATTAATCACACTATCTTCTCCCGAGAGAATATAGTGCAATTTGCATAAATTTATAAAAAAAATTTGTAAACGGATCATATTCCTAATTTAAAAACCCCCTAGTCTTATTTGAGACTTTTGATGTTCAATAATAAAAAAGTGGAGCCATGATTTGAAAAAAACGCAAACATATTATTATAAATGCATCTAGAAATTCTGTTCGGAGCGAATGAGAATTAAGAATTTGTCATTTTAAAAACATAATTTTTTATCATTTTAAGTTAAATGATTGTGTTTTGCAAGATTTTATCTTCTCTCCTCCGTAATATTTTCTCTTTTTCTCTCTCCACAAAATTTTATCTTTTATTATCCAAAAAAAAATCATCTTTTAAAATAATAAATATTTTTTCCATAATTAATTTTCAAAATATATTGTTGGAAACCGTTGATTTCTACAAATCTATCGGTTATAATTTATTGGGTCACATTTATTAATTAATTATTAATTCTAATAAATTATAATCATTACATTGACGGGAATCAACAGTTGAAATTTGATAAGTAGCAAAAAAAAATAGTAGTAACTATAACTTCCCTTCTAAAGGATAGGGAGATGGGAGATAAAGAGATTGGCGAAAGAGAATTAAGGAGCGGATATTACGGGTCTGTTTGAAATCGATTTCTCTAATCAGATTTTTTACTTTTAAAACAAAAAATAAGGCATGTTTTGTAAAAAAATTAAAAATTAAAAATTATTACTATTTTTTGATTTTAAGAATTAAATTTAAAGAATATATCTGAATTATTTTTATTTTATATTTTGACTTTTAACTTTAAAAAAAACTAGAGGAAGGTTATACTTACAACTTTTTTTTTATAACCTCTTACAACCATATTTTAACACCGTTGATTTCTGTTTATCAACAATTATTATTTATTATAAATTAATAATTAATTAATTAATTTAATTTGCGAAAATTATAACCGTTGATTGACGAAAATCAACGATATTAAGATATAATTGTAAGAGATTGTAAAAAAAAAAAAATTATATAAAATAAATTATAATTATCATATTGATAAAAATAAATAATTAAATTTTAATTATAAGAGATGGTAAGATTATAAATATAATCTTCCTCAATTTCAAAAGAGTGATAAAATGTCAATCAGCCTATCATAATAATGAAAATTCGAGTCAGATCCAAGGCTCGTCATCCTCTCCAACAAAAGACAGACACGTCAGATAACAAGCATTGCACGACGTGTCGTTCCGAGAAGCAACGTTCTCGGTTCCTGTCTCCTTTATTATTCGTATATCAAATTGGAAAATCGTAGCTTTGTGCCGTTCCATTAACAACCATAGCTGCGGTTGTTTATTGACGTTTGAGATTGACCCACCGACAGAGACTGCGGCGGTTTTGGTTCCATTGAATTAGCTTTGGGCTATAATGGCGGACAAGTACAACCTCAAAAACCCCGCCGTGAAGCGGATCCTCCAGGAGGTTAAGGAGATGCAGTCCAACCCTTCGGATGATTTCATGAGCCTCCCTATCGAGGTTTTTTTTTTTTGGTTCTTCTCTTAGGGTTTTTGCTGCTTGATCTTATGATTTGTGATTTTCGTGCGTCGATTTCGCTATGCGCGATGCGTGTTGTGATGGTTATCGAAGGATTTTTTTCTAGCAATGGGGTTAGATTTCAATAAGATCGTGATGTTATATGTTCTGAGTCAATAAGATTTGGCAAATAACTTGTTTTTTAGTGTTTTGCAATTGATTGATTTAGCTTGTTGATGTTGCGGGATTGCGAATTGGTAGAAATTCCTTTACGTTTACGGGATTGGGACTGTTTGTGGAAATTGTGTTGTTATTCTTATTCGTGAATTGAATCTGCTATAGATGAATCCCAGTTACTGAGAAATGACACAACACATTTAATCTAGACATGTTTGGATTTGATTATTTGAAGGAATTAAAAAAAAAAAAAAATTCTTACAAACTATTTTGGATATAAAATAAGCTAATCCTAAGAACTCTCTCTTGTCTCTACTAAGAAAAAGAAGAGGTGTACTTTCTTTATAAAAAAAATAATATGTTTTGTTGGTGGTTATGATTATTTATTTATTTTACCTAAGTCATTTACCCAAGTTGATAAGTTTCTAAAGACTGTTGGGTACTCACCTGATCTGTCCTTTTATTTTATTTTTTTGCCTTGTTTGCATATTCTGTAACTTATTACCGATTTGAAACTGGCATTTGATTATTCAGTATCATTCTGTTTTGTTTTATAAGTCTTTACTGAGCAACTTCAGTTACCATGTTTGTTTTCAGGAAAATATTTTTGAATGGCAATTTGCGATTAGAGGGCCTTGTGATACTGAATTTGAAGGTGGTATTTATCATGGACGGATCCAGTTGCCTTCAGAGTATCCCTTCAAACCCCCTTCATTTATGTTGTTGAGTGTAAGATGTTGCTCCCTCCCAACTGAGTAGATGCTTATGTTATATTAATATGCATATCTTTTTGTGTGGTTCTGTTTTATGAACTGTCTTTTGTGTTGGAACTCTGAAACTCGAATGCTCAATCCCTCGGTGCTTATAAATTTCACTGTTATGCTGTCAGCCTAACGGTCGTTTCGAGACCCAAACCAAGATTTGCTTGAGCATATCAAATCACCACCCTGAGCATTGGCAACCATCATGGAGCGGTAAGTGACATTCCTTTTCAGTCTTGACTCGCTGCATTTGCTGAACTATTTTGCAAGTTATGTCTGAGCACATGGCTCAGGTTGCTGTTTGTACGTATCATAGTATTGCACATTTTGGGTATGCAGTTACGTACAAGACTATAATTGTATTGTATTTTACTATTTTAATTTTTATTGCTTTGCAGCTAGAAGACTGCCTGAAATGTTTGACTGTGGCCTTAATAATTTTCCTCTCTGATTGTTTTCTATATAGGATGGCACTGTGCATAGGGACATAACATTACTTTCTCTAGATAGAAGTTGACATTATATTGATTCTCGTGTCTTAGTTTGTCAGCTTGGGTTGTAATATCTAATGCATTTGCCTTAGTAAGAAAAGGGGAATATTTAACCAAAAAATACTGATCAAACTAAGTAGTTGCTTTTAAGTATATTCGTAGAACTAGAATGGGAACGTGTCTCTTTATTTTCATCATTTTTCTTTTAATTATTTACCTTTTTTTTCTTGTTAGATATTAAATACATTACCTTTATACAGGCCGAGCCCTATGGATGCCTTTGGGGGCAAAGGGTCTGACTTAATTGATGTGAATTTCTTTTGGCAGTAAGGACCGCTTTAGTTGCACTGATTGCATTCATGCCTACCAGCCCAAATGGTGCGTTGGGCTCGTTAGACTACAAGAAAGAAGAGAGGCGTACATTGGCCATTAAATCTCGTGAAGCACCTCCAAGGTTCGGTACTCCTGAACGTCAAAAGCTGATTGATGAGGTAAAATGTTGCTTATTGTATTCTCCTCGTTACATGTTTTCTGTAATATTGTGCTGATTTTGCTTTGTTATCCCAGATACATGAGTATATGCTAAGCAAGGCACCCGCTGTTCCTCAACTTAGCTCCACACAGGTTCCCGAAGAACACCCCAGTGAAGAGGAGGCTGAGGCCCAGGTTAACTCACCTAATCCAGAGGCTTTGCCTGCAGTAGAGGAGGTTCCAGATCAAGCAGGTGACAGAATTGTTGAAGAACAAGAAGAAGTCCTTGCAAATGCTAATCCTGCAGGAGTTGAAGCTTCAAGGGAGATTCAATCAAGTGTTTCAAGGAATCAGTTGCTCCAAAAGTCAGATACAAGGGTTCAAAATCCAAAGCCAGAGACTAGGGTCCAAAAACCTGATGATCGTTTGTTCACATTGGCAGCTATTGGACTTACTATTGCAATTGTGGTCCTTTTGCTGAAGAAGTTCATTAAATCTACCCAACACGGTGCAGTTTTCTTGGATGAATCTTAGACATTTCGTTGCTCATGTTGGCTTCAGAGATGAAACTTAATAGCCTTATACAGTAATAGAAAAATATCCAGCTATTCTAGAATGAAAGGAGTTTATTTTTTATTGTCCTTTATACACTTCGTAATTAGTGTAAGATAAATGTGCTACAGCGATGAATTGGTGAGCATGTCCTTCCTTTTTTCTCCTTTATAATGTGGTGGGAGCTACTCCCCTTTACCTATACGATATATCAACCATCTTGATGCCTGTATTGACCGAAAGTTATCGTCATGCTTCTTCTGGCATATCGTGGACTTGAAACATCTTCCATGGAAGTTAGGCTACGCGAATTTCACTCATGTTCCGATTTATCGCTCTATCTGAACTAATTGAAATCTCACAGGAATTTTGACCCAGAACTAACATAATTTAACAGAAAAACGAATGAGATAGTTTTAGGGCTTGTGTATTCTCATGTAATAGGACACAGAGGATCTCATCTCTAACAGGAGATGGTATACTTTATCTTAAGACACAAAATGGCGAGGTTCATCACTAAAAAGAAGAAGAAAAAATGGCATGACGATAAGATACTAGTCTCACATGACAGGAGACTAGCATATTCCATAGTTTTAAGAGTCTGATTAGTATGATGTATAAGGTATGATAATATAAGCTTATATTATTACGTTATAACATTTTTAGTTATTTGGTGTGACATCATATAATATAAGTTTATACAATAGTATCCATTTATGTATTAATTAGTGCAATTCTCAAGAATTAATATTTATTTTAATATTAATATATTAAAAAAAATTCAATATATAAATTTTTAATATATTGGAGATTTTTACTTTTATAAAAATTAATATTTTTTTGAAACACACTCATCAATAGATTTCTATAAAATTTAATATATATTTGAAAGAATTATATAAATTCTTTATTAAAAAGTATTTTTGTCAAAAATATTTATTTTTATCCTATTTTATATTATACAATGCATTACCAAATATTGGATGATATTATTTTATACAATATATTATCTTATATAATTCTGTACCAAACGTTGGATAGTATTAAAATTTGATCTGAGTCTTATACAATCAAACCTTATACTATTAAGATTTATCCTATACTATATACCAAAAATGTCCTAAAGGTAAAAAACATTATTATGTCCAAATACGTTTTGATCTTATTTATTATATAACTTTTTTTTATTTTTGACTTATTATTTCTTTTACAGTGTGTTTTTTCTCCTTTCACTATAAAGAAAGCAAACGATTACATCTGGAAGTGCAAATAGGTTAGACTATGATAAGTTTTGGCTTAAATAAGTTAAGCATGTGTAAAAAATCTTAGGTCTGACCTAGCATGTTAGCCTGTTAGCCTATGTAGGCTCAAATTATAAGTCTGAGCTGACTTATATTTAAAAAATAAAAGTATTGGTCTAGGCTTGTTAGCCTGCTTAAGCCTATTAAACATTTCGTATTTAAAAAAATAACTAAAATAATAGTATTTTATTATTCAAAATTATTAAAATAATTTTTATTTTTTTTAATAAATAATATGATATAGGCCGACCTGTAAGCTTATAAGCTCGACATGTACAAATAAAGCTTATGGCCTACATTTCAAATAGGATTTTTTAAAAGCCTAAGCCTATTCTATTTGACTATTTATAATAGGTCAAGTCTGGCCTAGTATAGGCTAGGTCGTAGGCTCCTGTAGGGTGGCTTAGCCTATTTACACACATAATTACAACTATCTACAATGGGTAGTACACAGTTATAATAGTAAAGATATTTTCTCTCTCTTTAGACATTGTCAGCTGAAATGACGAAGAAAAAAATAATAATTTTATCATTATAAATATATATTACCTATAGTTCATAGTTAAAATTGGTTGCTGCAGCAAATTATTTCTGCAGTGAAAGAAGAAGTATATTTTCCTTCTTTTATTTATGAGAAAAATATTTTTCTTGTTAAAGGAGATAAAATTATTAGATTATCTCTAATAATTTCAAAATTATATATTGGGGATTTAGAGGATAAATGATGTTTTAAAATTTTCGTTTGTTTCTTTGTTATATATATTTTAAAGAAAAAGTGTTTGTCATTTTAAATGACATAAAGTTATGTCATTTTAGGAGAGATAGACACAAGAAATTATTTTTTATTAAAAATTTAAATTAAAAAAAAACCACCCATTTTTTCTCCTATGATTTTCATTTTTTGTATTTATCTCTCTTCTAAAATGACATAACTTATATCATTTAGGGAACGAATGGCAATTGGTCTTTCATTTGCTGTGAAATCATCCGCTACTGGCAATGCAATAGAAGTAGAAGCTCTTGATGCAATATCCCTTGCTTGAGTAAGCAGTGCTATTGCTAACATTGGTTTTTCTCTTCCTTATGTGGAATTTGACCTGAAAACAAGCCTATTCATGCCATCAATGCCATTCGAGGTGATAAGTTAAATTCTAAATCGAAACTTTCATTTTTTCGTAGAAGGGAATCTAACTTGCTACCAAAAGAACGGGGCAGGATGCTTACAAAAAAAAAAAAAAATGACAAACATCAAACCCTTATTTTAATTGTATGCTGATTTAGATCTGAGATCATCCTTGTTGAAAGACATGCTTTAAACCAACAACTCGCGAAACCAGGAGAAATATGTATTTTAAACTATGGGGTTGTTTTTCTCACCTTGTATAAGAGAAAAATATTCTCCTACACCACTATTGAGAAACCCGACCTGACTCGACCGAGTGGACCCAGACCTTGGCTAACTGGTCATTGGATCGGTTTGGGTCAAGCATTGGACCGGTCATGCATCGGATCTGGCCAAACCCGGTCAAAATTGATGACCCGGTCGGGTCATGCATTTTTATTAAAAAATAAATAAATCAAAAAATCAAAATTATTTCATCTTGTAAAAAAAAAATGTAGAACTCATTTTAATTTTTTTTTTGTAATTTCATTTGTTAGTATACTCTTCTACAATAACCTCAAATTTCAGCTTTCAATACTTAAGCAATTTGCGGAACAATAAATTAAGAGAATGTGACATATGTTATTTCAATGCAAATGAATTTGAAAACTATGAGTTCAATTTCATTAGAGATGTGCTTATGGGGATTCTAAGTCGTTATCTAAATTGTCATAGTAATAACGTGCATTTTCATTTATTTGTGTTTCATTCTCTTGTAAAAGTGTGATTGAGTAATTTTTGAGATTATTTAGTGAGCCTTGTTTAACTCATTTTAGATATGGAGAATATAATTAAATTTATATGTTCATATATATATATATATATATATATATATATATATATATATATATATATGGCAAAATGATTCCTGCAGCTGCTGTACCTACAGCAAGCAAGGATCCGCGTCCGGATCCTGAGTTTTTTTTTTTTTAAAAAGCCATGGGGCTCACTTTTTTGTGTCAGCTGTAGATAACACTATCTACGACAACTGCAGAAATGTTAAGCCCTATACATATATATATATATATATATATATATATATATATATATATATATATATAGTTTATATTTCTGCAGCTGCTGTACGTGCAGCAATCAAATACTTGTCATATATATATATTTGAAAGTATTAAATGTGAGGAATCATAACCATACAAATGATGAAAGTATTAAATGTGGGAAATAATCATACACCCTATCGTTGCTGTACGTAAATTGGCCGCAGAAATGATTTTACCATATATATATATATATATATATATATATATATATATATATATATATATATATATATATATATAAAGTCATATTATAAACTTATGTTATTTATATATTTTATTAATAATATATTTTTATTTTGTTTATATTGATGATATTGGCATAAATGCGATGAAATTTTCATAAATATTATATAAGATAACATATTACATAGTAAATATAGATCTTAATTAGTTACTTTATGATGTCTTCAAGAAAAGTTATCCAAATGTAATTAATCTTGTCTTTTCAAACTTATACCAAATGTTTATTTTTTGAATAAAAAACTCATAATCATAAATATTTAATTCAAACAGCTCTGTTTAGGGGGAAAATTTATTATGCTCCCGCCCCACCATTTATTCAGTAGTCCTTTTTTGTAAATGAAAAAAAAAATACATTCTTATCCCTCCCTTTTTGATTTTTTCCCTCTCAATCTCTATTTTTTTTTTTTTTTTTGGGAGAGGACCACCATACTCCCGCCCCACCAAAAACTCTCTCCTGTTTAGGATACCTAATTTTAATCAATTCATGACAAGCCCTTCCCATATGTCCACTTACAATCGTTTTGATATTTGTTGAATAATACTACGACATAAGTCCAACAAATTTATTTGTGTATGAGATATTTTTTTAAATGAAGGTACAAATTATTTAAATTTATCAGCAAAGGAGATGCAGCCTCTTTATCTCACATGTAAATCATTCTTTTCCAAAACTTTAATAGTTGTGCAAATACCCATAATTATGGGTTCAAGTTGTACGGAATTTATTTTCCTTAGTCACTCTCGACTTTGAATATTGAGAATGAATAAAATGATATTGAGAGAGTTACCTCTATAAATCCGATTGTGTTCGAACCACTTAATCAATGAACCAATGAAAAAATCTAAAAAAAAAAAAAAATAGTAGTGGAAGTCCTTATTTTGATAAACAGAAATTTATCCATAGATCTGCATATAAGGTTACAATATACTCTATTACATCATAAATAGGATTATTAACTCGTTGGCTAATACCATGAAGAGATGAATACATTTCTTGGAAACAAAGGTTTATGAAAAAAGAGAGAGGGAAAAATAGTACCTATATTGCACAAGCAGCATCTCTTCATAGGTCATACCCTTACCCAACTATATAATGTTTTCTTATACTATACTACACTCTATATCAAATCTCAATGCCCAACTTGGCTATAGAGAGCATAGACACCTGCACCCCGACTAAGAGGGAATCAAAGAAGCAATGGAGAGGCAATTGTTGGCTGTAATGCTAACCAAACCATCGGTTTTAGCCATGGTTGATGATTTGATTTTCAAATCCTCAAACCCACTTTCACATGCTGAAACATCTGCCATGACAGCACTAAGCACGATAGTAACGGTTCCAAGATCACGAGATTGGAGTGCATCCAATGCTTTCTGAAGGTTTTCCAATGCTTTAGAGTATTGTTTCTTGTAATCAGCGAGTGCAGTTGCCAACTCTGGTGAGGAAGCAGAATACTTTGTAATTTTGGATATGGTGAACTTTATCTGATAAGAACATGCCTTTATGGAAGCTTCAAGAACAGCTTTGACGTCAAAATTGTTGCTTAGATAGGGTAGACAGGTGGAAACACAAACGTCAGGGTAATCTGTGCGGCCACATATTTGTTCCAAGGCTTTGTTAACGTTTTTTTTGTTTTTGGAGTGGATTTCTCCAGGCATTGTTAGGGAGTTGCCACGAAAGGTTCCTTTGAGTATGTCTGAGAAAGCAGCGGAAAATGATGAGGAAGAATGACCAAAACCTTGTTCTGATGTTGGGCCCTGGGGTGCTTCAGAAGGAGGGAAGAATGGTTGCTCTGACTCTGAGAATTTGCTTGCCTCTGGAGGAATAGCATTGGAAGGAGAATTGGACTTTGCTTCAATGTCCCTGTGACCGTGTGCCATGCATGTTCCTAGTGCAAAACATATGAGGATTATGGACAAGAAAGAGCGGTTAGTGAAGGGAATTTGATCGTTGAAAAGTGTCATTGTTTCTTGAAGGTTGGGAGGACAAAGGATGCAAGATAAGAGGAGAATGTGAGTATTGAGATTTTTGGAATGTGGAAGCAAATTTATATTGTGAGGGAAATTGGTCATAGCTGAATTGTCCATGAAAGTAGGATCCCAGAAGGAATATTAACCATTGTTTATGCTGTTGTTTCAGCATTATTTCACGGGCCTTGGGGATTACAGTAATGTTTTATGAGTATTGGATCATTCCCGAGATTAGTATTTTCCATAGTTTGTAATGTTTGGTGTGAGGTAAAGTATAATAATATAAGCCTATATTATACATTATAATATTTTCAATTATTTGAGGTGACTATTATAGAATATAATGTTAATATATCAAAATAATATATAACTTAATCATGTCTAAGAGGATGGGATTAGACTTGATTAGAGCTTGATGTATTAGGTCCCATATGTCTCTTCTCATTCTACCCCTTTCTTTCTCGTTCAACTCCGCCCCTCACTTCTCTTCTCCCTATGCTACCATTGACGGTGACCATATTTCCCAAGTCTAATAAAGAGCCTTGATTTCAAATTCCCTTTTCCTAAAACTTGTAAGTAACATTCTCTCTCCTAGACAACAACTGATTTCGGGCTTAAGCCCAGTTACTCGTTTATGTTTTCTTCATGTTCTTTCTCTCTCAACAACAATTCGATCTCCTGTTCAGTCACCTAGTCAATGCAGATACTATTTTGTCACATTAGAATTCTCTCAAGATTCCCCTCCTTCAATTTTTGATGAGTTTTCCCAAGATAGACGGTGGGATAGCGACATTGCATTTCATGGAACCCTAATTTTTTTAGAGTAAATACTCTTTTCGGTTCTCAGCAAATTTTACGATACCCTTCCTAACAAATAAAAATGTTATTCGTAGTCCCTAAGAAATTCAAAGTGGACCCATTTTAGTCCTTTTGAGATACTATTGTGGGTCTTTTTTGAATTTGTGAGGGATCACGATTTCAACTAAATGGATCCATTTTGAATTGCTTAGGGACTACGAATAGCCTTTTTATTTGCTAGGGACTAAAAAGGGCATCGTGAAATTTGCTGAAGACCAAAAAGGGTATTTACTCATTTTTTTATGAGTAAATACTCATTTTGGTCCCTGACAAAAAACTCGGTACCCGTTCTGGTCCCTAGAAAAAATAAATTAGCTTGGAAGTCCCCCAACAAAGACAAATAGGTCTCACGTTAGTCCTTCTGTTAGTCCCAAACAGACGGTGTCACTGGCGGAACTGATGTGTAACGTTAATTGCCATGCTCAACTGCCACGTTGGAGTGGAAACGACGTCGTCTGAAGACTTGCGTCCATGTTGTTCTGAATCATTTGGAGAAACCTAAAGTGCTCCTCACCTAACCATTGTTCACTTTACCATTTTCCTCTATTTCCATCGACTCTCCATTGTTGAGAAGAAAGACCATCGTTCTGTCAACATATCCCTGTGTTTTGATTCTACAGTGGTTCAACAATCAGAGGGAAGTGGAGCAAGAAATATACTTGGTTTGGTACGAGGCTCATCGTTCTATACTAAAAGGTAAGACAACAATCTATTTTGGAACACTTTTTTATCGTAGTTGCTAGTTGTTGTCTATGGTCCCCATGGAGTTTCTGTTGTTTAATGCGTGTTTCATTCGTGCATGCTTGTGGACAATGTTTTCCATTAATCACTTTAGGGTTTAAAGTAAACAAATGGCTACCGGGTGTGGTGTGGTCCCTGTGTGAGTAAAGTGGTCCAAGGTTGACCCATGAACAATTAAAAACCACATACAAAGTGTGGGGAAAAACACATGTTCCATTTGTCTGTTTGTTTATTGTTTTTTATTGTTGCTGAGGTATTATTAATGAATTAAATAGGACCAGTGTTGGGAGTTTTTTCAAGTAGTCATTGGATTAAAGAAAGCTAACTTATTTTTTGGTTTGTACAGATGTCTGAATATATAGTCATTGTTTATCATCATGGTGGTGTTTTAATAAGAGATGAAGATGGATCACTGCCTAAGATGGATATTGACTACTGCAATTTGTGTGACCTTGACTCTCTGTTTAAGGAATTTAGGTATGAAAAATGCAAAAAGATGATGTGGCTAAAGCCTGGTGAACCCGATTTAGAACAAGGCCTCAGACCACTTAGTATCGATTCTGATGTATGTGCCATGTGTGAGGCTTCTTTAGGTAATGGCAATGAGATACATGTGTATTTTGAAGAATGCATTTCAATTCCTCAGTTTGGTTCACCTGAACATGACAGTGCAAGGGATAATGTGGTTAATTCCACGTATAATGAGGACCATGCACATGATGATGATGGGGTGAATTCGGATCATGAGATTTCACATGGTGATGGGGTGAATGATGGGCATGAGAGTGCAGAGGATGGTGGTTATTCATCGGACATGACAATACAGATAATGAGATTGTTTCTTCAGATTCAAATTCATATAAGAGTGCAGAGGATGAGGCATATAAGCCTTCCCCAGGTGTTGATGACCATTCAAATGATGAAATAGAACAGACTGCACCATTGAGGGGGGGAAAGGCCTGCAAAACAGACCCCAAGGAAGAAGGCATACAAGAAGGATGGCAGCAATGAAGACTCTGATGGTGTAGTTGATGAAGAGAAAGACCAAATGTCATTTGAAGAAGATGGATATACTTATCTTTCTTAGGAATTAAGGACTCCTCCTTCAAGTGATGATGATGAAAATGTTAAACCTATATTGCCAAAGTTCAATGAACATGCTGCCTTTGGGCATGTTTATTTAGAACTAGGCATGGAGTTTCTGAATTTGGAGCAATTTAAATGTGCAGTGAAAGACTACAATATTAGTCTTGGGAGGCAGTTTATCTGGGTTAAGAATGACAATGTCAGAGTAAGGGCCAAATGTAGTATTGAAGATTGTTAATGGATGGTGTATTGTGATTGGAACACCAAGCTAAGCACATTTCAAATAAAAACATTTAACGAGACTCACACATGCTGCAGAGTATTCCAGAATAAAAGGGCTACTCAAGATTGGGTGGCCAAGAAATTAGAGAAAATGATATTGACGCAGCCCAAGATGTCAAGGTCAGAGGCATTTGAACATATAAAAGAGGAATACAATGTTCACATCAAGGATGCCCTGTACCAGAGACAAGCAGCCAACATGCAACAATTGGGGCTCAACCAAGTTCAAGAGCATCAAGAGGCAGCAGCTCACCTCTATGCAATCCTACTGAGGTTGTGTCCAATGAGACATTAATTGCAGCAAGTAGTGGCATCAGGGCCAGATTCATGAACTTCATGTCTACACCAGGGTTCAAGCCACCAAGACCAGCCCCACAAAATTGATTGGAATACTATGTAATCAATGTCATTAGGCCATTTTTGGATGCCTCTGATATAGGAATTTATTGGAATTGTAATTAGGGTATTTTTTTGGAAATACTTCGGTATTGGCCCTGTTGAAATATGTCAGTAGGCTTTTTTTGTATGCCTCTGGTTATGGCCATAGTTAATAGGATCATTATGCTTTTTTGGAACATTATCGTATTGGCCTTGATGGAAATATGTCAGTAGGATTTTTTTTTTTTGTATGATTGTGGCATGTTGGCCATGGTTAGTACTTGTAACTAGGATCTGATGAAATAAATGCAAAATGTTTGGTTGCAATCTGTCTTTGTTGTCATTACTGTCTACAATGTGCAATTTTTAAATTTTGGTCCACACCATCTGTCATTACTACTTCTACTGATACACTTTCTAGTTTCTGTCAACACTAGTATTTATCTTGTGTTTGTTGTGTCCATTTTAGGGTCATGTGTAGCTTCACTGCACTTATCATCCATCAGCCATTCACTTTCCTTATAAGTCTTCAACATTTTTTATTGAGGACCTTTTTAGTCCTTGCTTACTAACACATACCTCCATAATGGTCCCTAACAATTTCATCGGGGTCCTTTTTAGTCCCTATTAAAGTTATAGTTACATTGGTGCCACCATATGCTGTTAACAGACCAGCAATGGCATTTCCCCTTGTACATGCTGATTTCACTTATGACTTACACAATTAACTTCTGCATAATTCACACCATCACAGTCTCAGTTTAGTGTTCATACAGAATTTCCAAAAAAATTTATCTCCATCAAGTTTATACTACACTTTGTGCCAATAAACATAAGTTCAAGTACATAAGCCATGTTATATACATTGTGTAACACTCCGTGTGCACCCGGTGTATTAACATACATATGGTAATTAAAACCCTGCTTAATTAATTAAAACATAATACATAAGCTTACTAATTCAATTATGAATATATCATGTGCAATTATCTCAATATTAAACCTCAATGTATAAAAAGAAACTTTATTACTAAACCTGTATGTAATGCCAGCTCATGTACTGTATAACCTCAAATAATATAAAAATACCAAGTCATAGTACTACATTAAGTAGCCATGACAATGTACTGATACATTATTACATAACTCAAGTCTCAACATAAAATACTATCTCAAGTGGCAGGGACAATCCTCATGCTCACACAAATATAAATAACCAAGTCTGATTAAAAATGTAATAGCATCAAGTCTCAGCATAAGTCATATATATAAAACAAAGTAAATCTCCATGCAAGCATACTATCAACTAAATATCTCCGGCCTCTGGCCTCTAGGGTCCTCCATATAACTATCTGAACCTGAAAATGTGCCCCAGACGGAGTGAGATTTCTAAAAAGAAACCTCAGTAAGACAAGGGGTCCTCAAGGACTTTTCCACCCCAAGCTCACTTACAGGTATATAATAAATTCAAAATAGATAAAATGCATGGGTATATTATAATAATTCATTCAATCAGCAATAGTCCATATTTCACAGTAATATCTCAACAACAATAAAATATCTCATGTATGTGATGTATGCATATGTGGTTCGACTGGCCAGGGAACAGGATAGGGTTTATGCACGTCTGCTACCTAACAAACATGAGG